TTCACACCGTGGGATTGTTACTCACCTGAACGAGCACCGATTTGGCTGTGATTTTAGGCATTTGTCTCTGATTTCTTAAAACCTGTCGGCGACTCTGAATCGGGCCTAAAATCACGCAGTCTGAGCTCAGCATAAGGGCAATTAGGCAAGTCATGGCATAACGGTGGTTTGTTCTTTGTGCAAAACAAAAAGTATTGCTTGATAGTGATTGCGTACTAATTTTATTCTAGCTGAAACAAATCATATACTTATTCCAGAATAATAAATATTATAAGAAATACTGTGATTTTATTTATTTATTTATCTTTTTATTTACTATTAATTAAACGTAATTTGGCAAAATTTTGAAAATGGAAAAAAAATCACATCTGGGCGAATAGTTTAGACTTCAACTCTAAATATGATTGCTGTGACCTGCAATTGTTAGAAACAAGAAAATCATGAACAATCGGCATTGTTGTGTTGTGTCTCTGAATGATGGGACATATGGCAGAGATTGGGCATGACCTCAGGTGTTTGGCTCAGTTCAGTTTTTCACAAATCCATTGGCAGGAAGTTATGAAACAGAAGCTGCACTCCAGTGTTGAGTTACACCCCTTTTTCCACTGTAGAGATGGATTATAGAAGAGGTTTCAGGCTTTACAAACACTTAGCAAGACAAATGTAAGAATCAGATTGCAGTTCAATATGAGATATAACCGGAACCCAGAGTTGCAATAAAATTAATGTTCTGCATATCTGCAAATTCTGGTTATATATGCTAGAAATCTCTAAATGTATATCTTTATTGCGATACGAATGCTGTTCTACAAGATGTTTGAATTTGATGGTTTTCTGGGGAAGACTAGGGCTGCACGATGTTGGGAAGATCTGATTGTGATGTTTTGTTTTTCTGCGATATATATTGCGATTAGGGTTGTCACAATATACCGGTATGACGGTCTACCACGATTTGAACGTGCACGATTATCATACCATGAACAATTGCATATCAACGGTTTTAACCCTTAAAGACCGAGACAGCCGCCCGCGGCTAAAAATAAGTAACGTTATTGCTCTTAAATGTTTAATAACTTTTGATCCGCTGATCCGATTCATACAATTCAAAGATTGGCATAAAGAAGAGAATCTCAGCTTTCCAGTGCTGTATCACATAACATTCGCGGACTTTCAGAGGCTCCGGAATCAGTGCGGTTACGTCATCAACATTTGACAACGCTGATTTGACAAAGAAACGCTCGTCACTGTGTCTCCGGACAAATCAGACATGATACATTGATGCATTGTCCCTCCTCCATGCCCAGATTGGTTCAAACTCGCTATATCACAACCAATAAGCATAGGTTTCGCTTTTGTTTGTGGACTAAGGTTTTTGAACAACACGGAATGAGAGATAGGAATACATTTATGCGCGGCTAAATGAAACGCAAAAAAAAAAGTTTTGCATGAAATAATTCTCATACTAAGTACTTTTGCATGCACAGCAGCACAGAAACATGACAAAACAGTGACACAGCAAAGACGAACTGCTGCTCTTGCTGTTTTCAAAAGACGCAAATGAAGATGCAGCTGTTTGTCTGCATTGCAGACAACCATATCCAAATCCATATCCATAGACAACCATATCCATGCTGGCACATAAGACCTAAGGATGTTCCATATTGAATCTAGTTTCGTTATGTAACTATTTATAGTATAGTAAATATTTATATCTATTTTTTACTGAGGATTTGCACCATGTTTATTTGGACTTTATTTGGACTTTGACACATTATTTATTATTTTCTTATTTTTATTTGTTCATTGTAAGTGGTGTTGTTTATAGTAACTAAAAATATATTATTTGGAAAAAGTCAAATTTGCTTCACTGTTCTATTATTTTGTAACATTTGTAACATACCGTATACCGCGAAACCGTCAAACCGTGGTATTGTTTTAGACGATTATCATACCGTGAAAAATTCATACCGTTACAACCCTAATTGCGATATACTTTGTTTTATACAGTTGAACTCAGAAATATTAGCCCCCTGAATTATTAGCCACCCTGTTTATTTTTTACCCAATTTCTGTTTAACGGAGAGCAGATTTCTTTAGCACATTTCTAATTATAGTAGTTTTAATAACTCATCTCTAATAACTGATTTATTTTATCTTTGTCATGATGACAGTAAATAATATTAGACTAGATATACTTCAAGACACTTCTATACAGCTTAAATTGACATTTAAAGGCTTAACTAGGTTAATTAGGTTACCTAGGCAGGTTATGCCTAGTTCAGACTGCGTGATTTTAGCCCCGATTTTGGCTCACCGACAGGTTTTGAGAAATTGGCGACAAATGCCTGAAATCACAGGTGTAGTTTAGACGAAGTTGTCGGCGATTCTTCCTATAGTAAAGTCATGCAATGTGAATGTCCCTGTCGCCGATCCATCTTGCAGTGTAAACAAAGCAGCGACGAAACGCAAGCCCAGATAGTCAAGCAGTGTGAAAACATCTGTGACACGACTACTTTGAAAATCATGCAGTCTGAACTCGGCATTAGGGTAATTAGGCGAGTTATTGTATAACGATAGTTTGTTCTGTAGACTATTGAAAAAATATATATCTTAAAAGGGCTAATAATATTGACCTTAAAATGGTGTTTAAACAATTTAAAACTGCTTTTATTCTAGCCGAAATAAAACAAATAAGCCTTTCTCCAGAAGAAAAAATATTATCAGACATACTGTGAAAATTTCCTTGCTCTGTTAAACATCATTTGGCAAATATAAAAAAAATAATAATAAAAAATAAAAGGAGGGCTAATAATTCTGACTTCAACTGTATATATATTTTGAATTGTTAGTCTCACTTTATTTTAAGGTTCAATTCTTGCTCTTACCAAACTATTTTAAGTTTTGCTTCAATAAACTCCTAATTTGCTCCTTATTAATAATTTTTAAAATAGTTATTAATGTAGGTATTGGGTAGGATTATGAATGTAGAATAAGGGTGCTTTCACACCTGCCTTATTTAGTTGGATTGAATCGCACTAGAGTTCGTTTCCCCTTTTGGTGCGGTTGGTTTGGGCAGGTGTGAATGCAGCAATCGTACTCGAGTTCGCACCAAAAGCGGACCAAATAAGCGTACCGAGACCTGCTTGAAGAGGTGGTCTCGGTACGCTTTCAAACGAACCTTGGAGCGGTTCGTTTGTGGTGAGAATATGATCCATACTAAAACAGGTCCAACCGCAAAAAGTGCTGCGCGTTTTGGACTATTTCAACTGCCGTAGGCCGATGCGCTGTGCATTATGGGATATGGAGGAAAAATATTTGTTGACAGCGCTTTTCCAACAGAGAGAGAGAGAAAGAGAGAGAGGGGAAAACATCACCTGATGGATCGTTGGTAATATTTCCGCAAGATGACCATTTCGCTGTTTAGCTAAATTAATTCACGTCTCCTCCTGAAGTGATGAGCGATGCATTAAACACTGATTTCCAGCCGCGGCCGCGCTTCATTGTCGTAATGTATAGTTTGTCTAAAGCAGGGATACAATCAGCCAGCGCAGTCGCCCCTCCAGAGTAAAAGGTTTTGTTTATCTGCGGGAGTTCATTGGCATTTTCCCGCACGTGAATTCTGACCAATCAATAAGCAGTTTAAGAAAAGTTTAACAACATCTGGCCAATGAGAGATGTGGATTTTGCCAGTTGACTGCATTTTGGTTCGTTTCAACTGGTTCGGACTGAAGCCAGCAGTGTGGTGTGAAAACGACCCAAAGATGGCAGAAAATGCAACAATGTATCATTTATTGCGCTTGGTCCGGACCAAATGAAGCGAATTACAGATGTGAAAGCACCCTATACAGAATAAATGCTTTATACAGTAATTGGCATCTCAATAACATGCATATGCTAATAAGCAACTAGATAATAATGAGAATTGGTCCCTCAGTTGTTACCAAAAGTATTAGTTTTAATTCATTCTGTAGGGCAATGAATCATGCATGTAATAAACAAGCTACAAGCATAAATACATGCAACAAAGCAAAGATAAAAGTGAAATTAACAGTGCATGAATTATGGTTTTGTATATGTAAATGTAAAAATTACACTGCAAAGTCTACTCAGTATTGCATCTATGCGATGTGACTATTGTGGATTCACACAATACGATATCATCATCATCATCATCATCATTTTCTTATCGGCTTAGTCCCTTTATTAATCCGGGTTCGCCACAGCGGAATGAACCGCCAACTTATCCAGCACGTTTTTAAGCAGCGGATCCCCTTCTAGCCGCAACCCATCTCTGGGAAACACCCACACACACATTCACACACATACATACATTCACTACGGACAATTTAGCCTTCCCAATTCACCTGTACCGCATGTCTTTGGACTGTGGGGGAAACCGGAGCACTCAGAGGAAACCCACGCGAACGCAGGGAGAACATGCAAACTCCACACAGAAACACCAACTGAGCCGAGGTTCAAACCAGCGACCTTCTTGCTGTGAGGCAATAGCACTACCTACTGCGCCACTGCCTCGCCCCTAAATGTGAAATTCTTAAGTATAAAGGCTGAAATTGGTATTTTCTTGAAACATTATTTCATAATCTTCATTTACAGTTTCTACAGCTTAACATAACTTCTATTCTTGCAATACTGTAATGAAAATTGTCTAGTTGACCCAATCTGAATATTGCATTAATATTTTAGAAATGAATGCGTTTGTAAAAGGAAAACACCACCTGTTACTTGTGTTCGTATAATTTCAAATGATTTGAGTCTGAAATCTCAGTTTGAAACCGATAAAAGGAAACCATTGTCTTTTTGTCCTGCAGTCTGGATAGTTTTATGATTTTGATCGAGGCCAAATATTCTGTCATAGTGTGTTTGTTTTCCCTGGAGGATTTCAGATCGCTCGCACTAGATTGTACGCTCTCATGTTGGTTGATTGGTGGTGCTTCTTCTTTACCATTTCTCTCTGTTGTGTTTTCTTCTGTTCGCTGTAGATGGGGTCGAGGATTTGGACTGTTGGGATCCATTTTTGGGAACGACAGTGCAGTAAACCAGCCAAACAGTGTCTATGGAATTTTCTTTTATGTCTTTCAACTGTTACTAGGTAAGGACATCATCAGCTGCTGTCATCTGCTAATACCTTTTCTAAACAGTTTATTACGACCTTAATAGTTTGATTGGTTTTTTCATTTGTTTATTTATTTTTTGTTTATTTATTTGTCTGTTTAAGGCAAGACTTTACAGGCAAAAACATTGTGTTTGCACGCACTGGTCAATTTTAATTGGATGATTGGAAAAAGCTTACCAATACGTTCTTATTTTATTGCTCTTTCTTGGATCTTTTTGATATATAGATTTAGTTTTCAATAATTTAATGAGTTTGTCAGATATTTCCAAATCAACAGCACAGTTTTATTAATATCTATATTCTGATCACACACCAAACTTTACACTTTTATTACTATCTATAATCTGATCACACACACCAAACTTTACACTTTTATTCTGTCTATATTCTGATCACACACCAAACTTTACACTTTTATTCTGTCTATATTCTGATCACACACACCAAACTTTACACTTTTATTCTGTCTATATTCTGATCACACACACCAAACTTTACACTTTTATTAATACCTATAATCTGATCACACACACACACACACCAAACACTTATTCATATCTATATTCTGATCACACACACCAAACTTTACACTTTTATTACTATCTATAATCTGATCACACACACCAAACTTTACACTTTTATTACTATCTATAATCTGATCACACACACCAAACTTTACACTTTTATTACTATCTATAATCTGATCACACACACCAAACTTTACACTTTTATTACTATCTATAATTTGATCACACACACCAAACTTTACACTTTTATTAATATCTATATTCTGATCACACACACCAAACTTTACACTTTTATTAATATCTATATTCTGATCCCACACACCAAACTTTACACTTTTATTAATATCTATATTCTGATCACACACACACCAAACACTTATTTATATCTATATTCTGATTACACACACCAAACTTTACACTTTTATTCATATCTATATTCTGATCCCACACACCAAACTTTACACTTTTATTAATATCTATATTCTGATCACACACACACCAAACACTTATTCATATCTATATTCTGATTACACACACCAAACTTTACCCTTTTATTCATATCTATATTCTGATTACACACACCAAACTTTACACTTTTATTCATATCTATATTCTGATCACACACACCAAACATTACACTTTTATTAATATCTATATTCTGATCACACACACACCAAACACTTATTCATATCTATATTCTGATTACACACACCAAACTTTACACTTTTATTAATATCTATAATCTGATCACACACACCAAACTTTACACTTTTATATCTATAGTCTGATCACACACACCAAACTTTACAATTTTATTCATATCTATATTCTGATCCCACACACCAAACTTTACGCTTTTATTAATATCTATATTCTGATCGCACACCAAACTTTACACTTTTATTCATATCTTTATTCTGATCACAAACACCAAACTTTACACTTTTATTCTGTCTATATTCTGATCACACACACCAAACTTTACACTTTTATTAATATCTATATTCTGATCACACACCAAACTTTACACTTTTATTCTGTCTATATTCTGATCACACACACCAAACTTTACAATTTTATTCATATCTATATTCTGATCCCACACACCAAACTTTACACTTTTATTAATATCTATATTCTGATCACACACACCAAACTTTACACTTTTATTCATATCTATATTCTGATCACAAACACCAAACTTTACACTTTTATTCTGTCTATATTCTGATCCCACACACCAAACTTTACACTTTTATTAATATCTATATTCTGATCACACACCAAACTTTACACTTTTATTCATATCTATATTCTGATCACACACACCAAACTTTACACTTTTATTAATATCTATATTCTGATCACACACACCAAACTTTACACTTTTATTAATATCTATATTCTGATCACACACACCAAACTTTACACTTTTATTAATATCTATATTCTGATCACATACCAAACTTTACACTTTTATTCATATCTATATTCTGATCACACACACCAAACTTTACACTTTTATTCTGTCTATATTCTGATCACACACACCAAACTTTACACTTTTATTCTGTCTATCTCACACACACACACACACACACACACACACACACACACACACACACACACACACACACACACCAAGCTTTACACTTATTAATATGTACTGTATATTCTGATAACACACATGATCTTACACTTTTTATATCTATATTCTAATTACACACACCCCTAACTGTACACTTTTAATATTGTCTATATTGTTATTACACACACCAAATATTCTGACTACACACACCAAACTACACCGTTTTTGCTTACACCTGGCTATTGTTTACTCTCTTTTATAAAATCAGGTATGCACCACTATATCAGTATACTGTGTGTGTCTTATTTTAATATACAAAATCTTGATGATATAAACTTGACATGATATAACATGTACATGCCTGTCCAATGAATGTCTTGGCCATTGCATGCATGGGTTTTAATGTCCCTTCTATAAGAAATCTTATTTAACTCATTGATCATCTATATTGTCTATAACATCCAGATATTTTAACATGCATACATGCAGTATACCTGCATAATCAGCATATACCATATCAAATCCAATTTGTTTATCACACACAATAAAAACAACACTGTGCTTTTCAATATGTCTGCTAAATAAATAATAATAAATGGATAGAATTGACAACAGTGTACTTAAATCTACTATACAGCAAAGGTTAATTGTCTTATTGTTTATGGCTTTAGTGTGAATTTTGCCGTCTGTAATCTAGAGCTGTTTGACAGAGCTCTGAATCATCGGCTCACTTGTCCATGTCTGACATCATCGCTGATGCATGAAAGCACAGGTCAAACATTCACAACCTTAGTGTAACCCCACCGCCGTCTCGTCTTGAGTGTCTCTGCTCTTGACCGATTATGCAAATATCTCTGAACTGGTGTTTGAGATACTGCTGTCAGCTTTAACTTTATTTGCCTCATCATATTATTCAAATATGAATATTAGATAGCAAAAAATGTGCATTACATAAGAAAAGACACCAGCTGTTGCTATAGCAGAGATTAAATGTTATTGGAACATGATAAATAGATCAAACCTGAAGACCATAAACTAATCATTATGGGTTATTTGTGTTCGTCAAGCCATCCTGGGAATATTATGAGCATAAAGCACATTTGTAATGCAATGCTAATTGACCCTTTATCACTGTATTGAGTTCTATAAAGTGTGTATTATAAAGTTTAATGTCTTTTTTCATTTTCTGATATGAAGCTATGTGAGAAAAATAAGTGACACTCAACTGTTGTTAAGTGAATTTAAAGTGAAAGTGAATCTTTGTAAACAGCCTTAATAATTTATTGCGAACCAGTGTTGTCAGTCAGCTCACAAAATGAGACACAAACCGTGAGATAGGGCTGGGCGATTTGGCAAAAAAAAATAAAAAATCTAGGTTTTTTATAAAGTTTGACCGATTCATGATTTCAAATTCACGAGTTAAATAGCGTTGCTGAAGATTTGAATAAGAAATATTTGTGTAAATATTGCAGTTGCAGGAATACAAAGGTATTTTTTGCAAGTTTTGCTGAGCCTAGGAAAGATTGGCTGTCAGCTCGGCTTCAATAAAGTTTAGTTTTCAAGTGTAGTTGGTTCATTTAAAAGTACAGATTTCAGGCTTTATTTGAATATATTTCTCATGTCTGTGAAGCAAATATTCTCTGAGATTCCAGTGTGTTTGCTGACCACAAAAACTCGTAAAAGCACATCGTCTGGTCTTACCTATACCTGTCAACCCTCCCGTTTTCCCCAGGATTCTCCCGTATTTTACAGTTCTATCCTGCTATCATCCCGTAAAGGTATTTTCCCCCTATTTCTACCATATTTTCAGTCTTTCTCTGAAGGGTGGCAATAAACATTAAAGAGCTGATCCTCCCATGGTCTTTAATGCGAGTGTGTTCTGTGCTTTCATTTTATTTAGGCATGAAAACACTTTGAAACAAATATGAAAACGGCAGGATTCCCTTTCCTTTTATCACAGGTGCAGTTGTCCCTCCTATGCAATCCTCAAAACAGTCATATAGCAGTGCGTGACTGTCAGCTGACGCGCTCCATAGTGATAAATAGACGCTGTTTCCCAAACGGATTCTGTACATGCGATTTGCAGCGGAGTAAAAGTCTGAGTTTTGGGTGCGTGTTTAAACAGACATATACACATAACTAATAATAATAACATATAAAGATGTCGATCTCTGTTCTTTTTTTTCTCAAACACAACTAATTTTGTCCTAAATGAGCATAAAAAGTTAGGAAAGCAGTCGAATGCTTTCATTATAACGTTATTTGTGTGCATTTTTTAAGTGACGCCTCTTATTTAATGTAATTAAATGAAAAATCTAAATAAATGAGATTCATTCGGTGCTCTTTAAACAGAATGTGTAAGTTATACAGTGAAAAGATTATTGATATTTGTTAACTTAATTCTATTTCTTTATGATAGCTACTATTTTAATAAGCTGAACTGTTTGCTAATTTATTTGCTGCTAATGTATACTATTTATTTTTTCTTTTGTGAATAATAAAAATAAAAGGTTTTACTGACCGTTTAACTGTTTATTAACTCATGAAGAACATATTTAGGCAAGGCAAGTTTATTTATATAGCACATTTCATACACAGTGGCAATTCAAAGTGCTTTACATAAACAAGAATAAAAGAAACAAGTAAAAAAAAAAATTTAAAAATAATAATAAAACTGATAAAAAAACTTAAAAACAGGTAAAATGTGATATAAAAGAATGAAGAAGAAGAGAAAAACATGATAGTGCAATCTGTCGGACGCAGCACAGTGCTCATTCAGTAAAGGCACAGCTAAACAGATGTGTGTTCAGTCTTGATTTGAATGTGCCTAATGTTGGAGCACATCTGATCATTTTGGAAGC